CTGCTCAGGAAAAAACATGGGTTTTGTTAACCACACCTCAAGTCCATCAAAGTTTACTAAAAAACAGAAGGGTGTATATAGGACTTACATCTCATCAAGTCTTCAACTACAGTAGAGCGTCGATTATCCGAAAGTCAATCATCCAAAAGAATTCCAGTTGGCAAATTTAAATTTTTGCCAGTGCTGTGGTGCTGCAATCTTTGGCTATGTCTTGGGCTACTCAAATATTTTACATTTTTGATACTAAATTAATTTCTGAAGTATAATTTTTTATTGTTTTTATATTTTTCAATATATTTATTTTGTTAGTACAAAATAAAGAAATAATTTTTAACGATACAGTAGTCACGATTATTATTTTAAAAAGTTTACATTAGGCTTAACATCAATGAAAATTCAATGCGAAGCGACACGCCATGGAGAAAAATTTCTACATGGGATAGGTTAATATATTTTTTCATACATAATAGGTTATCCGAAATATTGATTTTCTGAATAGCCCCAGTCCCCAATTGATTTGGATAATCGATGCTCTACTGTATTGATAATACAGCAGTAACAATGTATAAATATTGAGTATTAATGAAATTCAAATGTGAAAATTAAAAAGAATAATTTTTGTTTTCACATTTCAAAAGTTACTTTAAAACTATTTATACCACAAATAACTTACTAAACTTAGTACAAATGAACAAGCTTTTCCTTGTTTGTTTGTACTAAGCATTCAATTTATACAGTTTTTATCTTTTATTTGCTTTCTTTTTCTTGAGAAAGGTCATTTAACATGACCGAAAACGTTTGAAGTAATAAACTTTGGCCGCAAGATAAAGTGTATTAGTAAGTTTTTTGTGGTATTAATAGTATGCAGTCTAGAACGAATTAAAACTATTTGAAAAATTGAGTAAAGTATGTATATACAATATTGAAATATAACAAGATTGTTTTTATGGTCTTGTTATTTGTCAATATTGTATGTACTTCAGTTTTTATTTTTAAGTTTAATAGTTATAAGTTGTTGTTGTTGTTGTTAGAAATGCATGTCATTCTCATATAATTAATTAATAATTCTGAAAATAATCATTAAAAGATATCTTATGTAATGTCAACACATTTTAATTATAAATATACTTTCATGCATGCTTTTATTGTTAAAAAATCTTGTATGATAGTAGATATTTTAAATTAATTTTACTTGATTGTTTTGTTGTTAAATTTTTTAGTAATTGTATAAAGTTGTTTTATTATATTTCTGTACTTTTAAGTATTGTATTAATATTTATATGTTAAACTTACTTTAAACTGTCCATTAATTCTGTAATATTCTGAACTATGTTTCATTTTTAAGTTTTACATAGTGGAAGCTGGCCTAAAAACAGGCTCTTAAGAAACAATGTAGATTTTTTATTTATAAATAATTCTGATAATTCACACTGTTTAGTTTATTTTTTAACTGTTATAAAAAAATATCAATTTTTTACAAAAATTTTTATTTAATGTTAATGCCCTGTTTACTTATATCATTAAATTTCATAATTTTAATAGTATTATTATATGAAATACTTCATTTGATATGTTTTATAGTTAATACAATTATATTTTATGTTTTAGTCATCAAAATCTTTAGATTCAGTTAGTATAAAAAATACTTCCAAAGGTCTTCCTAGTCCAATAACAGCAGTGGAAAATCTTGCACAAGAATTAGAATATTCACTTGACATTCATAGTGCTACTAAAGGACAGTATGTTGTTAAGCCACAAGTTAGTATATCCTTTACTAAATTATCTAATAAATTTCTAATTCCTTTAATTATCTTACTAAAATTTTTAATTTTAATGATAATACTAATAAAATAAATATTTTTATGTTTGCAAATAGATTTTTTAATGATTATAATCTTATCAAGTAATTGCAATTTTCAGTTGAATTATTTAATATAATGATATTTTTTCTTCAGTTTTTTTATTTTTTTATTTTTGGATTAAATAAAAATGCATTATATAAAAATAGAGACATACAACATATACCATAATTTCACATTTACGATATAATAATAAAGCATGATAAATTGTGTAAATCATTCAATAATATAAACTGTGAAAACTTTTTAAACTTCAAAAAATATGATTTGTTTATAAAATTTAAGAAATTATTACAGGTATCCCTTGATTAACATGATTAATTAATCCCTCAATGCTATCATGTGTATCAAAAATCATGTTAATCAACATTGTCTATGTTAAGTAAAGTTGGCTGTTAAAGCCACATTAATTAAAACTTCTGCCCAGTACATAAAGGGATTGTTGCAATTAAATTTTGTGTATTAATTTAATCAAATCCCGCATTAAGAAAAACCATGCAAGGGATACCTTTATTCTCTTAGTAACTTTATGGTATTTCTGAGATAAGTTAAATAAAGTTACTCAAAAATGCTTCAAAATAAAATTTTATGTAGCTGCTTGAATTTACAGTTTTTATTAACCAATTAAAAAGTATAATGGTCCCATACTCAAAAGGTACTAACATGTCTGAAATATTAAAAATTATAATGGTCCCATACTCAAAAGACAGTTTAATCTTCATTTCATACCAAACATAATGTAAATTCAATGTTGAATTTAAAAAATCACAGAATATATAAAATTATTAAGTAAGTATTACTAAGTTACATGTTGATATATAATAATTTGGCTTAAAGAATTATATAGTCTTTATCTAATTAGTCTGTTAATACTCGTTAAATACATCTGTATAAGAATTTTAATAGGTAAATATTTGTGTTAAATTATAATAATTATCTGTTAATCAACATGATCTACAAAGTCATGAAAAATTAATATAAATCAAAAATAAATATTGTTAAATCATTACAGGATTATGAACAAGATCGTGCTGAAGATGTAAATATTTCTAGTAAAAGTAATTTTAATGGTCAAAAATTAAATGAATCTATTAAAAAAGAAAGTAACACTCCAGAAGGTAGCGTCAAACAAATGAACATGGTTATGAGAACTCGGTCGGATTCTGGTCGTCCACTTACTGACTTGGTATTGTATTTATAAATTTTTTCATTGCTTATTTAATTTTAATTTTTCAGAATTGTTAGTTAAAAATAAATATTTATACAAATCAATAATTTTTTAATTGTCTAAATTGTCAAACAAATGTTAATAATAAACATGCAAATATATCCATATTAATAAATGCTATAATTACCAAGTTATGATATATTTTTAATGATTTAATGTGCAATAATAAATTTATAACTATCCAAGTTGTTTTTATTAATAAAGTTTATTATTTAATATTGTTAATTCAGTAAGTGGTTACTGTTTATAGTACTAAATTCATATAATCTCTAAGAACATCATTAACAAAAGTCAGTTAGCTAAAAATATGTTGTAACTGAGTAAGGCTATGGTTACTATGGATGCGAATTCTGACGAAATTTTGTTCTGATGAGTTCTGACGAATTTGTCCAAACAAATAAATACCTGTTTTGCAATGAGAGTTTTTACTTTGGCAGCGAAGGGCATGTCAGAACATGCACAATGTAGTCAGAACCATTCGAGCGTTCAAACGAGTTTGATTTTTTTGTGCGTTCTGACGTTGAATTTCGAGTGTTTTGGTTTTTCAACATGGATATTGATAAATTTATTAGTTTTGTGTTCGAGAACAGGTGTTTGTGACATGAAAGACAAAAACTATCACAACAGAGATATTTCTCGGCAGAGATAGCTCTCATTCTGAAATACTTGAAAAACTTTTGTGGGTTGTTCCACAAATCTTCATATAACATTTGGAACTCTCCCTTATCGTCTCTTATGGAAAATAAGTGGTTAACATGCACTGTTTTCCCACCACCTATCAACAATAACTTAATCAACAGACTTTCAAGAAAATAAAACTCATCAAGTTTGTTCATTTTGCTGTGAGGCAGAAACGTACTGACTATTAGAAAACGTGCACAGTGTAACCACCTTGTTCTGATGAGTACGTCCGAAATCCTCATCAGAACAAAATTTTGTCAGAATTCGCATTCATAGTAATCGTAACCTAAGAATAGCAATTATTAGTAAAGTATAAATATATATATATACATAGATTAAATAATTTTTTTTTTACTAATAGGAAATATTAGAACAAGTTACAGTTCTAAATTTAGACACTGGAGAACTAGTTCCATTAAGTTTGGCAGAAGATCGTTTACCTAAATGTGTTAATCCACTTTCTTTACATATAATGAGACTCACGTCGGAATATGTAAGGTAAATAATTTTAGTTAAAATAGTGTGTTGTTTAAGAATTTGTTGGATACCTTCAAAAAATATATTTTATTTTTAACTGAAAAATTATTAATAACAAATAGCACTTTCTATTTAAAGCATAACTGTACATGCAATATTGCTTATTAACAAAATGATTTAAAAATGAGTTATAATATATGTAATAATGACTTTAATTGATGTTTTTTGCTGATATTTTTTTATACAAAATTAAGTGAATTAAAAAATAAAAAATAGCTTTTATATTGGCATGCAGAGCATAAAATGCCTTCAGAAAATCTCTAGTATCTAATATTTAGCTAATTTTGACATTTGACACTTTTATAAAATGATGATTCCATATGTACAAACTAAATTAAATTAAACACTAAAAGAAATAAGTTCTTAAATTAAATAAATAAATTCCAGTTTATTGTGTTCATTATCTTTGGGATACATTGAAGCTTAGGACACATTTTGAATGTTTAAAAGCACTAATTGACATTTGATTTTCTTTTCATTTGAATTTACTGTATTTATTTTTGTGGTTAATAATTTAAAGATGACACAGATTTATTCCCCCAAACAAATGTTTAATCTAAGTAAAAATATTGAGTTTTTTAACCTTGATAGCATTTATTTAATTAGTTTAATTTACTTTGACCATTTCAATAACTATTTGTATTGCATATTTTAAGTAAACTTGTAACCAGTTCAAAAGTCCAGCTAAATGTTTTATATGAAAATATATGTTTTATATTAGACACAGAATGTATATTTATAGTTTTAAGTATTAGAAACTAATTTCATATAAATTTTAAACTCAGAATAAAATAATTTTATTATCAAAATATTTATAAATTAATTTTTTGTTATTTCTAAAAACATTATCTCTGAATATTGTTATAAAATAAAATATTGCAATAGTTGAGTATTGTTTTTTAAAAACAGGCATATTTGATGATATCATACATGTTATTTGGTGTCATCAATAACCATTTTTATCTTTATAATCATATGTATTTTTAAGAAAACAACTTTATTAATTTGACAAGTTAATCAGCTCAGTTATATAAAAGAGTTGTTGCCTGTACTGATTACATAAATATATAATGAAATGTTCTATTGTAATGTTAACAGATAAAGATTACATCAATTCTTTACAGAAATCAATTTTTTAAATACAGTGATACCTCTGTTTTCGTTGATAATCTGTCCGAAAACAATCGGCAAAGTCCGAAACCAACGAAAACCGAGGCAATTATTTCCATACGAATCAATGTAAATCCAATTAATTTGTTCTAGACACTCCAAAATACATACCAAAACATATTTTATAAAGAATAAATTTAGTGTTTAATACTAAAAACAATAAGAAATTAATATAAAATAAATATACAGGATTGATGTAAAGAATAAATGAATATTTAACATGGCATTTCCCCTGATGGAGCTAAAAGAAAAGGAAGGCAATGGAATTTGGCATATTTAAAATCTCAGCATCAATCCAGTGAGATGCTGCTGGGAGTGATGCAACTGCTAGCGTTTTCTAGAGAACACAAACACTGACTGCCAGAAATTTCACGAGAGAAAAACAATAAAAATGGCGAATGATGTGGACTTCCATGTTACGTTAAATTTATTTTTGAACTTATTTAATGAGAACAACTTAATTAAAAATGAATATTTCAAAAACAGAAATAGGGATAAAGATTTTTTCAGTTTTAATTGGAGTTTTAAATAATTAAATCAATTGTAAGATTACACTTTAACAACTAAAAGAATTGTGATGTCTTATGTATTAAAATATTCTATTAATGTACTAACCGAATATTAATTTATTCAGGTTTATTCATCAACAAATAAATTAAATTCAAAATTGTCAATGCAAAATAGAGCTCTTATGAGCCTCATGATGGCTGTCATCTTGTTTATTGGTGTATTGAGCACCAAAAAAGACGCTTGCAGTTTGCTAGAAGCACGCTGGCAGCAACCAGAAGTTATCTTAATTTTGAACATAGGTACTGAGAGGTCTGGCTGTACACTGATATTTTGAATACACCCATTGTTTGGCTAGATGCGTGGGACAAGAAACAATGCCTTACTGAGCAGGAAAATGCATGGTTTCTCAAAATTAACAGCAAGCTGATGATATTTGAGGCAACCAATGAAAACCGAGACAAATTTTTCGCGAAAAAAATCAGTGATAACCAAAGGCAACAAAAACCAAAGATTTACAGTAATACACTGTAAATCTTTGGTTTTTGGTGTTTCTATGATACTATTCTCAAAAATCTATTACATTTTAAAATAGAAATCAAATGCTAATCATTCATCCTTTTATAAAATGTTTTGAATTTAAAATTTGAATTATCTTTTGTAGTTGCAGTTATAATTCATTTTTTTGAAATCTGTTAAATAATTTCTAATATATACTGTTACATATAATTCTGATAACCTTTTCTTTGTTCCAATAGTTTATTAGTAGAAAATACAAATGTTTTCAAACAGTTTGATTGCTCAACCTCTGGTCTGTTGTTGCTGTGTTCCATTTAGAATGTTCATTCTAAATCATTCTACATTTGAACTAAACTACAAAAATTAAATATGTTCCAAATTTACAAAATATAAAAATGTATAAAATCAACTAAATCCTACATATTACATATTATACATAATTTTATAGTCACATTATGTAGTTTACTATGTAGTTTTCTCAAGTTCTTATTGTTATTTTTTTTTTCTTGGGGTTATCATAAAATGCTTTCCAAGCAAAAGATAAAGAATCTGCATCTCATATATTAATGCACTTGTTCTTGTCTGCTTTATATATATATATCTGTCATCTCTTCTCTTCTAAAACTCTTTTTACTTAATGTTGCTTCCTCCAGTCTAGCTTTAGTTCCTGTTCAGAAGGAAATATGGAGAGCATTGTGGTTTGATTCAATTTTGAGCTTTTTCAATATCATATTTATGTTCTTTAATCTTGCTTTTAAAAGATTTAGTTTACCTAGGAACCATGAATACATCTTTATCAAACCTGTCATCTTTTAATTGTTTGCTGTAAATTCCCAAAATTTCTAGGTCTAAATTATTATTACATTTTGCAGCATTTGCAGGAATTTGAAAACATTTGTCTTTTCTACTAATAAATTACTGGAACAAAGAAAAGGTTATCAGATTGATATACAAATATTTCTGGTTTGAAATTATACATTAATATTGTTGTAATTATAATTTTTAAATTTGAAATAAAATAAGATGATTATGCATGTAATGATGCTCTGGAGACAAATGAATTTGTAGAAAAGATCAATTTTTAGACTTTTGAAGCACCAGATCATGTGTCATTCTATTTGTGACATTGAACATAATAATGTGGTGGCTAATTGATAATCTGTAGTCATTATTATATATCCTAAGTAATTAAGTGTTCATATTCATTATTTTATTCTTATAAGATTAACTTGGTGCATTCCTGAAATTTATCATTTGAGAATGTTTAAGTTTAAGGCTTCGATAACTATTAGAAGCTTTCAATTTACTCTTTGTTATGCTTTGCCAGGCATTAGATTTTATAGGTTGATACTTTTATTATTAATTAATAATTGTGGACATGTTTGATAATGAATCTTCTGGCTTCAAAATAGAATGATTTTTATTAAGAATTTTTCAATGAAATTAAATTATAAATGAAATTAAATTAAAAATTCTATGTTTAGAATCATTTTAAAATATAATGAAAATTTAAATTCTAACTTTGCTCTTCAAATTTTTCATATATTTCTGAAACCCTGAATTCCCAATAAAATATTCCCACATTGCTAACATTTCATTAAATTTGCTAAAATATCATGCAAAAAACTCAAATACCTCTATAATTTTTTTTTGGTATAATCATTTTGTTTAAAAATTTGCCCTGGATTCAAAATCTATTTTAGTTGAAGTGTTTTTGATAATATTAAAAAAAATAAAGAACTCTGTTTGAAACTGCAATGATGATGACATATTTATAATTAAATTAATATTTAATACTATCAATAAGTACTAATACACATACTATTATAATTACAAGTATATGATCAGAAATAAAATTATTTTAGATCATGTATTTTTACTTATGAAATGTGATGCAGTGTTTATTAGTTTTATTGTTTATTAAATAAATAATTTTTACTCATAATATTAACAATACCTTCAGATTATTAATCATTCATATACAAGTCTTTTTATTTACATGTTTTTTCATTATTATAGAGGATTATAATTTTTGGAAATTCTCATAATTGGCATTTTCAATTTTAATTTAATTAATATCACTAAAATTGATTACGTATATAAATCTGTAGATTATTTTTGGGTTAGAATTTAGTTATTAATAGTTTAAATTATGAAATTTAACTTAAAGGTAGACAGATTTCATCATCATATATTAACATTATTTAAATTCAGATTAATTTTTAATTATTAATTTAGTAAATTCTGGAAGGAAATTACCCATTATGGGGACTGGGGACATCTACATCCACAGTCATCCATATCTCTCAGCTGTCTTTTAAGCTCACCTTAGAATGGTGTATTTGTATGCATATATAAACACATATATACACAAACCAATTTAAAGATGGCTGAGAGACATAGAGTGTGCACACATACAATAAACTAGTTTGATTTAAACAAGCTTTTTATATATATGATTTGCTATCAAATTTTTCTTTGCTTTATTTTATTAGGTTGGCCAATAAGTTTGTGCAGTTTTGCAGATAGGTAGAGTTAGATACACTATTTATTTTGGAAATATGTATTTATTTGACAAGTAACATTTCACCAACAGTTGTAAAAAGTAAAGCTTGACGATTAGTTTTATTTTGTGTGTTTGTCAGTATTCAAAAGATGAGTGAACAAAATGTGCATTATTGACACATTATACTTTTTTATTTTATAAAGACAAAAATGTGGTGCAAACCTGCAAAAAATATGTCAGGTATATGGTAAGGATGCCT